TACGTATGATGATACACATTCAGTAGTACTAACAGTTTCATTGGAACTATACAGCCATGATATGTGCCAATTTCTAAAGCTGAATATCAAATGGGATATTTTCCATTACTTTCCTAACTTGTGTATGAATCCGACTATGCATACATATGCCTAAACACACATTCATCAAAACCATCCAACCCTTACAGGGCCTCACTGAAAATATACTCTGAAACAATTGTCAAGACACCGAGAACAATAGTAAAGTCAGTTGTCCCAAAATCAATGGACGAAATAAATATTTACATGATATGCAGAGCTTATTATTCATACCTGCCTAACTATCAAACACAGGTACAAAGTGCAGCCACTAGGTAAATATTGATGTGAACAAACATCGCTAGTCAGTGGTTATATTTTCAGGTGTAATACACCCCTTGTCAAAAATATTTATAAAAAAATCTTTTTCATGACAATGAGATGAATATACAATGGAATCCAAACACAGCATTATAGCACTTAATACTACCTGATATTACATACATTATTTACCTTTTGCCCCAATGACATAAGTATTGTTATTTTATCATACAACTAATGATAAAATCCTTACTTAGCGAATCATGTATATTCCAATAATCAGGGCCCCATTCCACGCAAAAATCTTAACACTTCAGCATAGACTTACGACAATCGTAGCGCTAAGATCACTTTGTTTAACAGCCTTGATTATATACAGCCTGGCTATATCAATTTTCTTTCTGTCAAACAGTTACTATTTTTGGTATATTTATATCGTAACATAACCTTAAACTATCCTTCATACATATCAGAAGCTCAAAAGCATTTTTATATTTTATACTGCTATTGTTTTAAAACCTTTTTGACAGAAGCCATGGGTAGGTTACATAAATACATAGCCCATGCTTTCAACATGAATGTCTAAACAAAAACCATATGTACAATGTGGACACCATAAAGTGTGTGTATAGAATACACACAGAACAACCCCTTCTGTTACCAGGCAACGACGCCGGCACCAAACATGTCACCTATTACCCCAGTGCATTGTTCTTCCGAGGTACGTCTGACTAAATATGGAACCAGAGGTTCTTGTAATGTGTACAAACTGTTGACATTAGAAATGTAGTCATGTTTAGATTTTCAGATTAAAAACTACAACTTTAAACAGATTTAGTTGGAAACAAGAATATTACCTCTTGAATTACGTGATAACCTAATTCACTAAATGTCAAATGTAATACATTGTTACACATTCCATATCAACATCGCCAGTACAATGGAGATCTATACGTTGAATCACTAAACATAAAGATGTCATTATAAAAGCATGTATGTTAAAGATAACGCACAAATCACTGGGCACTTGTTACCAATAGTCAGTCAGTGATATTGGCGAGTATCCTATTTGTAACACATGTCAAGTTACGTTGCATCATCTGACTTAAAGTATCAAAGTAAATGCTACTTCAATTTTGTATTGAGGAGAGTATGTCATAAACTGTCATTTCCTTACAGATAATCTACAGTTGAAACAATAGTGATGTCATAGCTGTATTTTAAATTCAAAATAATTATTTTCCTTTTCATGACATTATAGTAATGATAATTGAGAATATTTTCAGTAATATGGCAATAATTGCTGAAATTAATTCTACATGAACCCAGAAAATATTTGAACATACAAAAGTAAGTGATGTTATGGAATAATTTTGAAATAAATTCTACATGAACATGAAAATATTTGGGAGATTTCACCAAACCTGGTCTTTACAATCTCCACTAAGAAGTCAATATCATCATAGAATCTACACACTAACAACTACTTACCAACAACTAACAGCTTGTACCACACTAGCAATGGGACAGACATGGTTGCATATGGACAACCCGGAAAGAAGGCTCTATATACAGTAAGAACAGCACCACCCTACATTAAAATATCAGAACAGGCACAGGTATGTACGACAGAAATAAATCGTGGCTAAAGAGATGAAATTCTTGGATGATATCACCCACCTTGATCGCTTCCTCCATCAGGAGTCCATGGTCAGCGAAAACAGAATCCCTTCCACCAGCGAACATACATCAACTCACGAGGACCCGACAGAAGACTAATGACCAATATACAGGCATATCACTCTGCTCCTTATTCCCTGGGGTCATTCTGATTAGTATTGGAATCATCCATGCAGAACTACGGAGAATCTATCATATAGACAAATGACACTACAAGGCAGATCACCACAGGCCATTAACCTAGTAGTTGGAGCAGCATTTGTGTGGAGGTGCAATGACGAGTGTGTTCCACAAAGAAGTACCTTGAGGGCAAGGAAGGATTATCAATGGAGATAAGTATTGAACTGGTCATTGGAAGATAAAGAGGTCCTACGTAAAGGCTGCCATTGAGGTCAACGTAATGGGATTGTTGGTGCACATCAGGTCATTGGAGCAGGGTACACAGGTCAAACTGACTTCCTTCCCTCACTTTCTGATGTAATGCCCAAGACCCAAGAGGCAGTTGTTCTGCCAAGACTCAGAGCTACAGATAAGCTGTGTATTTGCGTAAAATACCCCAAAAATAAAGTCAAACCCAATTACTTTCAATTAACTTGTGTACAGAAACGCATACATCAAATGAAAAACTCCAATGTATAAAAACAGCATGCGCAAATACCCAATGAAGCTTTTTCAGCATGCGTACAACGGAGCTAATTTCCGAAACACAATTATGAGCTAATTTACTTTCCGGATCAAGCCTATATTTAGAACCGTTCTATACATCTAAAACATTCTCTTTTTTTAAAATCTCAAAATGTTTCCTCACTTTGGGAAAAAAACAAATAGTGTGATGAATAGATAACAGAAACAATATCAGTTACCCAATGAAAAATGTAATAACCCAAAAAACTAGAAACTTTTGAGTAAAAACTCAATTGCTCAAAAAGTTATCTGGAGCTCTTGGAATTGTTTTATATTTTGGGTGGTGGTTGGTTGGGTGTGGTTTAATGCTAATTTATATTCAAGCCATATCGCTGTAGGGGACACCAAGAGTCTCTGGCATTGTACCCATAAGCAAACAATGTATGTCGAAAGGCGACTAACAGGATTGGGTGGGCAGGCTTGCTGATTTGGTCGATGCATGTCATCATATCCCAATTGCAAAGATCGATACTCATGATGCCAATCACTGGAATGTTTTTTCCGGATTCAATTACTTACAGACTCGCATCACAAATCTGGGATACTGCTGACTTCGACGCTGTTTAAGGATAAAGAGTGAACCTGAGCCACTAGTAGGCCATTTGCACTCAATAATTCTGAATGAAGAGTTACCCCCCTTGCTCTCCAAGAAATTCTATTAAACCTATCTCCATCATCCTCACATGTCTATCAGTCTATAATCTCTCCAAGATGTAGACTTAATTCAGTCTATAATCTCTCCAAGATGTAGACTTAATTCAGTCTATAATCTCTCCAAGATGTAGACAAAGTTGACATAACTGGGAATAGTTTGTACCAATACTCAGGTTGGCACAAGGCATTCACAATATACTGTAAAACGTGAAATTAATGCGTCTCCAAAAGAATGCGACTGCTGGCCCCTAGCAAAAAATGCGACTCAATATGAATGCGACACCCCCCTCCTCTCAAGCATCAGTGGATTTATATCTAAACAAAATGTCCTCAGTCAGGTTTACAGGAGAATCCTCACCTTAATCCAACCTTACATTAATCCAATCACACACCAAATAGCACCGCTTATTAGCGCTGAGTAGAGTACTTCAGCTAAAACAATATGTGCGCGCTGACTCGTGTCGGCCTTTGATGCAGTCGCAAAGAGCAAAGACACCGTGTTGGGTGGCATCTGTCTGGACTTGCAGGTGTGATCAGTGACGACATGAGTGAGTAGAACGCTTGTCTTGACCCAAGCAGTGACAATTCACAGGATGTAATTAGTGTTTGAATGACATTGTTTATAAACATTGATGTGGAATACATAGTTGTTTGTTTTCAGCGTATGTCTAAGTTGGTATTTCTGCAATCCAAAATGTCTTATTGTTGATATAAATGCAATGTTTAATAATGCGAGCAAAGACCACTCGCATTTTTCACATTTAATTCACGCTCGCGTTAATATCAAGATTTACAGTAGTTGTCTTGCATTGATGACAAGAATACATTAACGCTGTCACAACACTCCCTATGTTGTACCGTATGTATTGCATGTTGTTTGGATTCACCTTAAACAATGGCTTGAAGAGGTCTATGATTTCAGAAACACACTGAGTTGTCTCCCTTCATTCTCCCAGAATGATCTTTTGTTTTTTGTTTAACGTCGCACTCAGCAATATTCTAGCAAAATGACAGTGGCTTGTAATAATCCTCTTTGGACCACACACTCCAGTGATTATTATGAGCATCGATCCAGAATACGATCACCCAAGTCAGCGAGCTGACCACATGATCCACTTAGTCGCCTGTTACGACCAGCAGAGGTGGGTGGGACCTATATTCTTACCCAGAATCCCTATGGGTATCTCCGAGCATGAACAAGCATTATACGCTCGGAATAACCTCTTTCCTGGCTGATCTTATAGTATTATTTCATAGCAAATCAACATTGGACAAGCATCATTTACTGAGCGTAAATGGAGAAGTTCTTTTCACTGTCGACATCAGGATATGCATTAAGTTAGTGACAGGGCTACAAATATTGCGCAAGTTTTTGTTGTGAATTGTTGAAAATGTTGGTATGGTGGTCGTGTCAAAAAGTATCTGTAGATGTAGTGAAATTGCTCCTTAGTACTATTTGTCTCTTGGGGAATTATTCCCATAGAACAGTTTTTACTAAGAAACTCTTTCCAGGACACATTTACACTGGCGATATTTGTTCTGGATGGAACTAATTCTATGAGGAAGCGATCATTGTTGACATCAGCAGGATACAATGAGACTCAGCACCGATGAACATATAAAATCCAACATGGTGGACCTACCTTTGGCTGTGCACACTCCTCCAGCTCAAGGATGCGGAACTCCAGGTCCTCGATCTGCTCCGTCTTCTCGGACAGGTCTTGCTGGAGGTTGGTAGTCTCACTCTCAAACACCTGTACCTGCAACGTGCAAAGAACAGTCTTCAATATTTGTTGCAATTACGAAGGAGAGAGTGAGTGAGTTGGGTTTAACGCAGCTTTTAACAGTATTCCAGGTATATCATGGCGTGTCAGCTTAATGTGCGAGGAAAGCCTGAGGTGATGCAGGTCTCAGAAGTTTACCACTTTGGTGAAACCCACGAGCTGACAAACCTAGAAACATAATCGGGGCGAACCGGGATTCGAACCCACAATCATAGGTTTCTGGCGTGCCCAAGGGATGCAATTCTGCACAGCGAATCGCGGCGCCATAGACTAGGCCACCCATGCCCCCCAATTACGAGGGAATAAATGTAAAAAGTGGTTAGCACACTATGTAAATCTGCACAGTGGACTGATACAAAGTATGCAAACTGGTTTCTATATTACCGCCATAAACACACAAAACAGCAGATTTACCGTGTGATCACTGCTTCTTACGTCTTATACCTGCATTTATACAAAAAAATATTGAAGTCAGTTCTTATGAATAAGTCAACTATCAACTATCAGTGATATCTGTCAGCGCAAATAATACGACTCAAGGTTCGTCTTCTCTGTTAATAGCCAATCAGGATAAAGTAGTTATTGAAACAAAACTGAGATAAAAATTGCTTGGTTAGCCAATCAAATGCCATGGAATTACTTGCAATTTATTTATACATAACCAGTCAGTTTCTTGAACAAAGTGATGCTTTACATTTCAAATGAAAATAAGCATTACAAGACCCACACGTGAACCATCACTCTTCATTGAAAACCTAGGTTCATCACCGAACTAACTTTTCAAATTCAAGTCAGGTTCTTTTTCTGAAAACACCCATCTCACCAAATTTAATAAAAGGAAACTCATATTTATTTCATAATTAAAAAAGTATTTGGAGAAAATCTTTACCTGTTGTCGAAGTTCTTCATTAGACGTGAAGAACTTTTCTTTCTCTCGGACCCATTCACAAGCTTCACCCTGAATCAGTGGATGAGTGACAAAATTAGCAGCATGCGAGGAAGAAGCTATCAGATCTCCCTCTGTTTCTAGTTAATATAGAACTAAAATGTTCAACTATCGACTGCACAAATCCCCAAGACTTGTCAAAACACATACGACTACACCAAAATCAGTGAGAGATACAATCATATATGTTGTTTGCATCAGCATCCCAGCATCCCCTCAGGTGGAGATACAATGATATGTGTCGTCTGCTGCTATATCATCGGGGGCCATACAAGCTGGGAGAAGCCCTGAAGGATTTATTGACTGACTGAACAGGAAATTGATTTCCTCAAATGTAGTATTAAACCGCAGACCCCAATTACAAGTGAGACCTTGTATTTTCATCAACTGTGCCTGTTCATCTCAAGTTGTTAGTTACAAACAGTCATGGCTAAAATGGTTTGGAAGCCTTCCCTAGATGGGTTGACCTTTTTTCTGAAGATTTTCATGATTGTTGGATATTTGCCAAGCAATTACTTTGTCTCTTCATAAAAAGATAAATAAATTTCTGATAGAGCAGGTAAAAAAACTTTCACAATTGACAAAAAACTCACTGTCCTTCCACAAATCACCCCAAATGTTTATTCAACCCTCCCAATGTGATTGTCCTGCTTTTAAAACTTCTCCATAGGGCTGCAAAGTTTCCGAACTTGTTAACTCCCAATAAAATCAAACATATATTGAAATCATTTTCAACTCACTCACTCACTGACACATTCACCTGCCCTTAGTCCTGCAGAAGTATCTCCAGGTCCTCTATCAAACTCACACATCCACTCACTCACTCATCAACCAACACAGACACTCACTCACTCACTCATTCACCAACACAGACACTCACTCACTAACAGACACTCACTCACTCACTCATTCACCAACACAGACACTCACTCACTCACCAACACAGACACTCACTCACTCACTCATTCACCAACAGACACTCACTCACTCACTCACCAACACAGACACTCACTCACTCATTCACCAGCAGACACTCACTCACTCATTCACCAACAGACACTCACTCACTCATTCACCAGCAGACACTCACTCACTCATTCACCAACAGACTCACTCACTCATTCACCAACAGACACTCACTCACTCATTCACCAGCAGACACTCACTCACTCCCTGACACACTCACCTGTCCTGTCTCCTGCAGTAATTTCTCCAGCTCCTCTATCCGACACTGACTCTTGAACAGATCCATCTCCAGCTGGCTCCTCATCTACAGAAACAACAACAACAGTCAGTCCTCAATATACATGTACTCCATACATCTTCATGTTATAAATGAAAACTAACTGGCATTAGCCTTATAAGGTGGCCATGAACCAGATGTCCCTGAACCAGATGACCATGAACCAGAGGTCCATGAACCAGATCTCCATGAACCAGATGTCCATGAACCAGATGACCATGAACCAGATGTCCATGAACCAGAGGGCCATGAACCAGATGTCCATGAACCAGAGGTCCATGAACCAGATCTCCATGAACCAGAGGTCCATGAACCAGATGTCCATGAACCAGAGGTCCATGAACCAGATGACCATGAACCAGAGGTCCATGAACCAGATCTCCATGAACCAGAGGTCCATGAACCAGATGACCATGAACCAGAGGTCCATGAACCAGATCTCCATGAACCAGAGGTCCATGAACCAGATGTCCATGAACCAGATGTCCATGAACCATATCCGAGTTAAGTTATCATAAAGGCAAGGGTTGCCCAATGGTTAGATGCCGAAACTTTCTATTCAGAGTCGCTTTCCTCAACAAACGGCCTATTTCTATCCTGGTTTGAAGCCCACGAATGATAATGATACACGATCTGTAAACTCCCTATCCTTGTTCATGGGTTTTTCCAGAGGTCGGAGGTCCATGTTCATTTACTGCATCTTCACTGAACTGTCCCTTCACACACAGAGTTGACATGGGGAAACACTGATGACACAGTCTGACTTCCAGTGATTGACATCATGAGCATCGATCCACGCAATTGGGATACGATGACATGCATCAACCAAGTCAGCGAGCCTGAGCACCCGATCCCGCTAGTCGCCTCCTACAACAAGCATAGTCGCCTTTTACGGCAAGCATGGGTTGCTGAAGATCTAATATCTATATTCCAAAAGTAAACAAGAAATGACACATATTTCACAAGACATGTTTTCAAAATAAGCACTTTCAGATTATTATTAGAAAACACATTTTCACACATTTACAAGACACCAAATAAAATTAAAGTAAATTAAATCCGTATCTACAAACCGTGATCAACCCCAAGCGTAGAGACTCCAAGTGCCCCCCGGATACATCACACACTAAGATATACATGGTATGGTCTCTATCTGTGAGCTACAAGAACTGTTTGTATATCTACAGCATCATTCCCAATCTAGCTGCAACTCTCCAAGACACCATCACATACTGTGTAAACCTGTTCTCATGCTACAGTGTTTATATACTGATCGTACAGGAGATGATGCTAAACCTGGGTGTGGATGTAGTCGGTATTGACAAACATGCTGGGAGTGAACACTGATATCCACAAACAGAACTATATGTCGCGTGTATTGATGTTGTTATGTGTATTTATGTCCTCACGTGCAATGTCTCACGTGCCTTCTTAATGTTATAGAACTATTCATACAAAGAAACCCTGCCTTGACGTATTCTGGAGACATGATGTAAAAAACAAAATGACCCACCATGAGGTAAGGGACCATCTGGATGAAAAATCACATTTTGAGTTTTCATTATATTTCAAAACTACAGTTTCTTCGGAACACAAAAATAAAATTCACAAGCTCCAATTCATGTTTATTACAGTGAGTGAGTATGGTTTTACGCCGCTTTTAGCAATATTCCAGCAATATAACGGCGGGGGACACCAGAAATGGGCTACACACATTGCACCTATGTCGGGAATCGAACCCGGGTCTTCGGCGTGACGAGTGAACGCTTTAACCACTAGGCTACCCGACCGCCCCTGTTTATTACAAAGATACATGACATTAAACATTTTGACTCATTTATCGACGTATAACTGTTTAAGCAATAATTGCAGTTTTGAGACATAATGTCTGATGGGTTAAAAGTAGACACATATGCTGAAACGTTTTGAAATAATGTTTTTATTACATTACAAACTAATGAGAGAAAAGTTAGATATTATTGTACAACCTGCACACATAGTGATCTTCACTGGAGTATGTTGACGTCAAATGTCTTATGACGTCATAGTACAATTGTATCCTAGCAACCATAAGGTCCCTTTTCTCCAGGAGGGTCACAAATATCCTTTGATCATATTAGATATTGATGTGTGATTAACTGCTTAGTGTACCTGACATGTGTTCAGAGTGAGTGAGTGAGTCTGCCAATATCATGGTGGGGACACCAAAATCAGCTTCACACATTGCATTGATGTAGGGAATCGAAAGCTGTCTTCTACATATCGATCAAACACCTTAACCACTAGGCTATTCCAACCCCACTTATGTCTGTGTTTAATTCTGTGAGTCAAACAAATGTTATGGAAACTGACAATGAGTTCAATAACACCATCCAGTAGTCCTGAGTCGGGTAACTAAACCTCTTATATCACCTACCCAGTGATACTAGCCAGTGATACTAGGCCTGTTGTCTGGAGCAGTAGAATAGGGTTCAAATCCTTACCTAAACATACTGTCATTGAAGATGGCTAATGATATTGATGTTTTCTACCAGTATATGTCAGAGTCCTATGCAGCCTGTGTAATATCTTCTCGGTTATTTATGTCACCCTAGCCCTAGTCATGTACTGTTTCAGTGCTGTTACTTCCATGCAGACAAAATCAATATATGGCCAGTGTACTGTATTTCCCAGATGTGACCGACACACGTCATCTGCAGCAATCAGAACAAAATGATAAACACCCAGCTAAAGACTTAATAATAGCCATAAGAGACACTTGACTTAGGCTAAACTTACCACCACACCTAGGATTAGCCACTGCAGATATGGAAGAGTTATCTCCCTTACTTCATTTCTCATCACAGTCTGTTTCAGTTTTGTAAGAAAGTTTGCCATCAATATTCAACCAATGTGCACTGATAAAATTACTGCTACAAATCTGTATAATGTCTGCTTATAACCATCTGGCTGTTACCATCCAGTCTTGGGGACGTTAAAATAGTTTCAAATCAAGTTTGTATAACACAAATTGGAAGTGCCAATGCTTTTATCTTCAGGATTTCGGTTCAGGATTTTTCTTGTTTTAAGATAACATTTATAATATATAATCTATTTCATACAAGAGTATTTTGTTTCGTTTAACTGCGTTCAAATTTCTAATAGCTTATACCAATTTACACTATTTGTAAAAGCATAAAACAAAATCTTTCTGTAAATGTTTTCTGAGCTGTATCCCCTCCCTTCATTGATGGTTGCTGTCTTGATTATATCTATTCCTAATGTAGATTTTGTTTTCAAAACTTTACTGGTACTTTAGTGTCCAAGAGTGGGGCTTGCATCGATCCGACTCTGCAGCAAGGTGGTGGTGGACTTACCTTGGCCTCCCTCTGTGGGTCCAGCAGTCTGTCAGTCTGACTCTGCAGCAAGGTGGTGGTGGACTTACCTTGGCCTCCCTCTGTGGGTCCAGCAGACCGTCAGTCTGACTCTGCAGCAAGGTGGTGGAGGACTTACCTTGGCCTCCCTCTGTGGGTCCAGCAGTCTGTCAGTCTGACTCTGCAGCAAGGTGGTGGTGGACTTACCTTGGCCTCCCTCTGTGGGTCCAGCAGACCGTCAGTCTGACTCTGCAGCAAGGTGGTGGAGGACTTACCTTGGCCTCCCTCTGTGGGTCAAGCAGTCAGTCAGTCTGACTCTGCAGCAAGGTGGTGGAGGACTTACCTTGGCCTCCCTCTGTGGGTCCAGCAGACCGTCAGTCTGACTCTGCAGCAAGGTGGTGGAGGACTTACCTTGGCCTCCCTCTGTGGGTCCAGCAGTCTGTCAGTCTGACTCTGCAGCAAGGTGGTGTGGTGGACTTACCTTGGCCTCCCTCTGTGGGTCCAGCAGTCTGTCAGTCTGACTCTGCAGCAAGGTGGTGGAGGACTTACCTTGGCCTCCCTCTGTGGGTCAAGCAGTCTGTCAGTCTGACTCTGCAGCAAGGTGGTGGAGGACTTACCTTGGCCTCCCTCTGCGGGTCCAGCAGACCGTCAGTCTGACTCTGCAGCAAGGCATGGGACTTCTGCAGCTGTTGGTGTTCACGCATCAATCTCTGGTAGTTCTTCTCGACCTCCTCCCGGGTCAGCTACAAAGTTAAAACACTTCTTCTAAAACCACTTTTCAGAAATCACTTCTGAAGGACAACCAGTTTTATTTCAATATACATGATTGTACGTCACATTATCTCAGCACTGGGAATGGTGGTCTCAGGCACTGAAAAAATTGTGCGTGGAGTTACTTCCCCTAGTCATTCCAGGATCCACTGTTACGGGTTCAGATTCACCCTGATTACGATCCTTGGTCTGTCAGCACAACACCCATGGTCACAATTTGGTAAATGTCTGAGACCTTGTCACTTCCTTACAAGATGTTGCAATATGAACTCCAATACTGTTCAAAGCAGTGTTATCCAAAGGTCACCGCCCTTGGCATTTAACATTTTCATGTTTTGGCCTTGACAAATGAAAAGCACTCTGTACTTTGTTGCAGCGCAATATGAATTTCAATCTTAAGCAATAAATACAAGCAATTTTATATTTTCAAGACTGTATGTTTCATGTGAGTTTTTACAATATGGAAACCTGAGAATGCTGTACCTCATCCCAAAGGTCATCATCTGATATCGTCAAGGAAACAGATGACAGAGAGTTTTCCGAGTTTTCTGATCTGCTGTCTTCATCATATCCATAGAAGGTCTCCTTTACTCCCGTACACTGGCAGGGTAGAAGAGGTAGATGTAACCACGACAACACTGCAATACATTTAGGTTGTGTATCCACCATCGGAGTCATCATGTTATGAAAAATATATCACCATGCCCTCTCCTGCCATGACTGCAATTCCACACCTGGTGCACCCTTACCCCAACACTGCCACACCCTGTTGTAACTCTACCTCAAAAAGCCACAACCCACGATAGCCAATACCCAAGTCACCACCCACCTCCACCACCACCAACCCCCTCCCCTGGCACCACCCCTTTCCTCACCCCAACTCCCGTCCATTGTGAACCCCCACCCCTCCCCCTCCCAACCAGCACCAACTCCCTCCCCTGGCACCACCCTATTCTCTCCCCGTAACCACCCCTTCCTTTCCCACAACCCCCTCCCTCCTCCCCCCACATGCACCAACTCCCTCCCCTAGCACCACCCTATTCCCTCCCCCTAACCACCCCGCCCTTTCCCACAACCCCCTCCCTCCTCCCCCAACATGCACCAACTCCCTCCCCTGGCACCACCCTATTCTCTCCCCGTAACCACCCCTTCCTTTCCCACAACCCCCTCCCTCCTCCCCCCACATGCACCAGCTCCCTCCCCTGGCACCACCCTATTCCCTCCTCGTAACCACCCCTTCCTTTCCCACAACCCCCTCCCTCCTCCCCCCACATGCACCAGCTCCCTTCCCTGGCACCACCCTATTCCCTCCCCGTAACCACCCCTTCCTTTCCCACAACCCCCTCCCTCCTCCCCCCACATGCACCAGCTCCCTCCCCTGGCACCACCCTATTCCCTCCCCGTAACCACCCCTTCCTTTCCCACAACCCCCTCCCTCCTCCCCCCACATGCACCAGCTCCCTCCCCTGGCACCACCCTATTCCCTCCCCGTAACCACCCCTTCCTTTCCCACAACCCCCTCCCTCCTCCCCCCACATGCACCAGCTCCCTCCCCTGGCACCACCCTATTCCCTCCCCGTAACCACCCCTTCCTTTCCCACAACCCCCTCCCTCCTCCCCCCACATGCACCAGCTCCCTCCCCTGGCACCACCCAATTCCCTCCCTGGCACCAACCTTTCCCCACTGTCTCCCTTATCACATCCCCAACCCCATCAGCACCAACCCCCTACCCTTGTCATATCCCTCCCCTCCCTCCAACATACACACTACCTTCTCCTGCGATCTCATTAACCTTCTTCTTTTCTTTCTGTGTTGTATTAATTCTATTCTTCTGTCCTTTTCCTGAAACAAATGAAACAATGCTAAGTGCCACACTTCTCACTCACCAGTACACACTTCTTTATCATGATGTTCTAAACCCTCAACATGATACAAACATATCTTTTTATTATAATATAACTGGCGATCTGTCTGCACCATGATTGTACTTAAGATTTAGTGACTTCATCCATTTGGCTGCTTCTTCCTGAGGAAATTATTTATTTTTCTGTTCCAGTGCCCCCTTCTCGCTACATATGAGTCCTATGTACTTACTGAACAGGGCCGTTTGAGCCCTATGTACTTACTGAGCAGGCCTGTTTGAGTCCTATGTACTTACTGAGCAGGGCTGTTTGGGTGCTATGTACTTACTGAGCAGGCCTGTTTGAGCCCTATGTACTTACTGAGCAGGCCTGTTTGAGTCCTATGTACTTACTGAGTAGGCCTGTTTGAGTCCTATGTACTCACTGAGCAGGCCTGTTTGAGTCCTATGTACTTACTGAGCAGGCCTGTTTGAGCCCTATGTACTTACTGAGCAGGCCTGTTTGAGTCCTATGTACTTACTGAGCAGGCCTGTTTCGGTGCTATGTACTCACTGAGCAGGCCTGTTTGAGTCCTATGTACTTACTGAGCAGGCCTGTTTGAGTCCTATGTACTTACTGAGCAGGCCTGTTTGAGTCCTATGTACTTACTGAGCAGGCCTGTTTGAGTCCTATGCACTTACTGAGCAGGCCTTTTTGAGCCCTATGTACTTACTGAGCAGGCCTGTTTGAGTCCTATGTACTCACTGAGCAGGCCTGTTTGAGCCCTATGTACTTACTGAGCAGGCCTGTTTGGGTGCTATGTACTTACTGAGTAGGCCTGTTTGAGCCCTATGTACTTACTGAGCAGGCCTGTTTGAGCCCTATGTACTTACTGAGCAGGCCTGTTTGAGCCCTTTGTACTTACTGAGCAGGCCTGTTTGAGTCCTATGTACTTACTGAGCAGGCCTGTTTGAGTCCTATGTACTTACTGAGCAGGCCTGTTTGGGTGCTATGTACTCACTGAGCAGGCCTGTTTGAGTCCTATGTACTTACTGAGCAGGCCTGTTTGAGTCCTATGTACTTACTGAACAGGCCTGTTTGAGTCCTATGTACTTACTGAGCAGGCCTGTTTGAGTCCTATGTACTTACTGAGCAGGCCTGTTTGAGTCCTATGTACTTACTGAGCAGGCCTGTTTGAGCCCTATGTACTTACTGAGCAGGCCTGTTTGAGTCCTATGTACTCACTGAGCAGGCCTGTTTGAGCCCTATGTACTTACTGAGCAGGCCTGTTTGGGTGCTATGTACTTACTGAGCAGGCCTGTTTGAGCCCTATGTATTTACTGAGCAGGCCTGTTTGAGCCCTATGTACTTACTGAGCAGGCCTGTTTGAGCCCTATGTACTTACTGAGCAGGCCTGTTTGAGTCCTATGTACTCACTTAGCAGGCCTGTTTGAGTCCTATGTACTTACTGAGCAAGTCCGTTTGAGCCCTATGTACTCACTGAGCAGGCCTGTTTGAGCCCTGTGTACTTACTGAGCAGGCCTGTTTGAGTCCTATGTACTTACTGAGCAGGCCTGTTTGAGCCCTATGTACTTACTGAGCAGGCCTGTTTGAGCCCTATGTACTTACTGAGCAGGCCTGTTTGAGCCCTATGTACTTACTGAGCAGGCCTGTTTGAGTCCTATGTACTTGCTGAGCAAGCCCGTTTGAGCCCTATGTACTTACTGAGCAGGCCTGTTTGAGTCCTATGTACTTACTGAGCAAGCCTGTTTGAGCGCGGCAATGGACTTGCCCTGCTCTGTGAGCTGCTGCTTCATGCCCTCCATCTGCAGCACTTTCTCCTCTGCGCAGCTGAGATCACAACGCTCCTGCTGCAGCTGCTTCATCAGCTGTTGACACTTGCGTCTGGAATGTTCATACTGGTGGTTCTGGAACAGAGGACACATCTGTAAAACAATGTTCATCTGGAACGTTCATATTCCTGGTGGTTCTGGAACAGAGGGGACACATCTGTAAAACAAGGTTCATCTGGAATGTTCATATTCCTGGTGGTTCTTGAACAGAGGGGACACATCTGTAAAACAAGGTTCATCTGGAATGTTCATATTCCTGGTGGTTCTTGAACAGAGGGACACATCTGTAAAACAAGGTTCATCTGGAATGTTCATATTCCTGGTGGTTCTTGAACAGAGGGGACACATCTGTAAAACAAGGTTCATCTGGAATGTTCATATTCCTGGTGGTTCTTGAACAGAGGGGACACATCTGTAAAACAAGGTTCATCTGGAATGTTCATATTCCTGGTGGTTGATGAACAGAGGGATACATCTGTAAAACAAGGTTCATCTGGAATGTTCATATTCCTGGTGGTTCTTGAACAGAGGGATACATCTGTAAAACAATGTTCATCTGGAACGTTTATATTCCTGGTGGGGATTGAAGGTTCATCTAGAATGATATTTATCATAGTGACTGAGTTGGGTTTAAGCAGTATTTCAGTCATATCCCTATGGGTCAGTGTCAAGTGGGAGGAAAATTGAGTCAGGTCTCAGACATTTACCACCTTGGTGAAACCCAAGAGCATGGGTATGGTGCTGACAAACATAATATTCACAGTGAATCTGTGATCATAGGATTCTGGCACTCCTAAGGGACATAACTGCACAGCAAACAACGGCACCTTAGACAATTGGGCATCAATGTACTAGTTCTTGAATAGAGAAAACACATTGTTGAAACAATGTGCGTCTGGAATATTTGTATACATCATTCTGGGATAGAAAAATCACATAATAAATGGTCATAACAAACAAATCTCCCTACAAGGTTCATACTGGTGTTATTAAGTGGTCATGGAATAAAAAGGACACATGTATTCACACAGCTAATGAAAACACTTCATGCAGTCATATAACATCTGTTGTATGTAACAATCACAGGTATCTCAAAGACTCCTATGTTACATCAAGATCACAAACATAGATGCCAGGCCCACCTTATCCACACCTGATATTTTTCTTATCTTCAATCTGAAACCAGTTGGACCAGAAACTGTTTTCCTTACACATTACTGGAATAAAAGTATCTTCAAGCCCCAAGCTTACTAGGCGGATACACTGGTGGGCATGAGATAGCCTCCCTTGTGTAAACACAATACCTAGTGGTAGGGGAATAGCGTTGATGGAACTGTGCGAAATGCCCGACAGCAGTGTGGGCTGTCGGAGTCGGGGAGGGAAACAACAAGTTATACCTACACAGTTGTATTTGGTCAGACTAATTGACTAGGACTTTCCCTACAAATTTGCTTTTCTTGGCAAAAGCTGGCTTTTTGATTGTTCAGATAAGAATAATTCTTCATGTCAGACAGTTGTGGTTGGTTAGGTTCAATTTGGATGAGAGTTGGCCACATTGTGACTTGTAACTACTCACAGCCAGATATGAACTGACGCAGCAATAGTAAAGCATTCAGCAGTCAAATAAATCTATTAGAAAAGATCCACATTAAAAATCAATATCAAAAGCAGTAGGGCTGGGATGGGTAACTCGGGTACTTGGGTTAGGACCCGGATACCCACATGAATACCCGGACCCGTGGTTAGTCACGAGATATATTGTTTAATGGCAAACATTATCTGGAACTCCATGGTTACTGTCTTTCTGACTATGCACGCATTCCTTCTGACTTTATATGTTTGAATAGAGATAAAACTTCAGTCAACTTCAGTATATGCATGACCAGATCGTTTTATACGTGTATCTAAATACATTTTGCCAGGGCTATGGTCAAACCATTCCCAATCAGATATTTTGTACCTATCTTTTGAAGCCTACAGCGGGCACCAGGGTAGGGTCGGGTAATAGGGGGGTGGGTACCTGGGTAGTAAATTTGGACTCATCCCAGCCCTAAAAAGCAGATAACATTGTATGATTCCTACTATATTATAAGTAGGCGCTGCAATTCACTGTACAGAGTTGCGTCCCTTGGTCACACCAGAAACCTATAATTGTGGGTTCAAATCCTGTTTTGCCCAATTATGTTTCTCGGTTTGTCAGCACCATGCCCGTGCTTGTGGGTTTGACCAAAGTCTGAGACCTGCATCACTTTGGGCTTTCCTCCCACATTAAGATGCCATGCCATGATATGACTGAAATACTGTTCAAAGCGGCATAAACTCCAACTCACACACTCACAATATCATGACCATGTGTTTATGAATCACTATCACATATTTATGATACCAGGTGTTTGCAATAAATAATATATCAACCCTTCATAAAAGTGTGACTAAATATATCTGGATGCAGTGAAACATATCGATTTTAAGTTTTTGATAGGTTAAAATTTATGCCAATGTTAAGATTTGAAAAAGTTGGCAGCATCATAAATTAAGTGTCAACAGAACAAGGACTGTCCTTAAATGCCATTTTTATATGGTCTGCCTTAAAGAGCATTTGCAACAACCACAGATGCAAGCCTAAAAGCCACATACATATATATATACTTACTAGTTAACCAGTAGATACATTTAGATCCAATTCATTCTGCCTTAAAGGGCATTTGTTGACTAACACTTATCTCTGAAAATCTACAATTTTGATAGAAACAAGCAACTACATTTAAATTGAAAAGGAGTCCCAGTGAGATGAGCGTTTCTTGAGTGAGTGAGTGCGTGAGTTGGGTTTAACGCCGCTTTAACAGTATTCCAGTTGTATCACAGCGTGTCACCATAATGTGGGAGGAAAGCCTGAAGTGATGCAGGTCTCAGACGTTTACCACTTCTGTGAAACCCACGAGCACGGGTTTTGTGCTGACAAACTTAGAAACATAATCCGGATGAACCGGGATTCGAACTCACAATCATAGGTTTCTGGCGTGCCCAAGGCCACCCATGGCCCCTGGGAGTTTCCTGAACCTAAAACCTGAACTGGTGGAAAATCTAGACTTGATTCATCTAGAGCTATTAGTATTACAGTTTGGGCTGGGTGGAAAAGAAAAATAGATATGTTTCAGAGACTGTGAGACAGACGAGGGCACGAACAACAACCAGAAGCAGGGTATAAGCTTGCTAGCTAGACTAACGCTTAGTCTCTGAAAGTATACAAATTTTATAGAAACAAGCAACTCCTTGTTAACTGTAAAGGAGCCACAGTGAGATGGGAGATTCAGCCTGAACCTGGGGAAAATCTAGACTTGCTTTATTTAGGGCTATAGCACTACAGTCAGCGCTGAGCAAAAGGGAAAATAATATCATTCAGGGACACTGAGACGGACCACAGATGCATGCCATAAGCCATATTCACACTGTGTTTATTAACCATTATGTACATTCAACCCCAATTCTTTCTGACAAACAGCATTTGCAGCATCCCCAGATGCCAACTAACAAGCAAGCAATGCTGTTAACAGATAAATGATGGGACTATTTGATCTCCGGAATAACTGTAAGTACACATCTAGTGACCCCAGCCACAACAAACAAAGTACAGCATGATACCCCAAAAGCCTGGCAGCCTGGGGACTGGGACAACCCCTCCAGGACATTCCGGGAATCCCAGAGCTAATGGCTTCTGCACCTCATACATGGGTGTTTGTTGGTCTAGCTATCTCGTATTACCTCGGACAGAGGGAATGGAAGCCAGTGGGCAGGTTTAGGAGAACCAGGTGATGTGTTCTGAGGGATCCACTCACTGCTGTGTACTGTCTCATTGTGAACCTAGTGGCCTGCAGGATACCTAGCATCTGCTGGTATTGGTCTACTGGCTGGGTAGCATCTACTGGTATTGGTCTATTGGTAGGGTAGCATCTACTGGTATTGGTCTACTGGCTGGGTAGCATCTACTGGTATTGGTCTACTGGCTGGGTAGCATCTACTGGTATTGGTCTATTGGTAGGGTAGCATCTACTGGTATTGGTCTACTGGCTGGGTAGCATCTACTGGTATTGGTCTACTGGCTGGGTAGCATCTACTGGTATTGGTCTATTGGTAGGGTAGCATCTACTAGTATTGGTCTACTGACTGGGTAGCATCTACTGGTATTGGTCTACTGGCTGGGTAGCATCTACTGGTATTGGTCTATTGGCTGGGTAGCATCTACTGGTATTGATCTATTGGTAGGGTAACCAGCATCTACTGAAATTGGTCTATTGGCTTGGTAAACGGCATCTACTGGTATTGGTCTACTGGCTGGGTAACCACCATCTACTGGTATTGGTCTACTGGCTGGGTAACCAGAAATTATGTTATGTTCATTAGAACAATTAGATTCCTTTTTCCAAAAGACATACACTTCAGTGAGAAACAACCTCTGAAAAAAATAAACCTGATCGTTCTCCTACTTGCTTGTGGCAGCTGGCAGTGCCCCCTTGTATCCTCTGTGTCAGGCAGCGGTCATTACAGTGGCCCAGGCCACCTATTACTCAAGCTTTAGAGTGTGTTGTGGGAACACATCAAGGGACTTAAACATACTACAATCACAGCCAACATAATGATACAGCAGACACAATCACCTATTATATAAACCTTTCAGTGACAATTCTTGTCAAAACAATTTGACTTCAACAAGTGAGTCCCAGAGTATCGATTTCTTGAAAGCAGCACTCACGTATGTGAGTCAGACAATTACACACACCACACACACACAGTGCTTATTATGTGCTTCACAGGTGTCAGCGAGGAGGTTAAGACAGTCAACATACAGTCAGAAGGAGAAAATAGTCCGCGCATGACACACCCAATACATCATTAACTAGCAGCCTTATGTGGCATATGATTGTAACGTGCAGCAAATTTTCTTCATTGTTTAACGCCGCACTCAGCAATATTCCAGCAATATAAGGGTGGTCTGTAAACAATCGAGTCTGGACCAGGCAATCCAGTGATTGACATCATGAGCATCGATTTACGCAGTTGGGATATGATGACATGCATCAACCAAGTCAGCGAACCTGACCATCTGATCCCGTTAGTCGCCTCTAACGACAAGAATAGTCGCCTTTTACAACAAGCATGAGTTGCTGAAGACAAATTCTTGCCCAGATCTTCACTGGGTCTTTACTTCAAATTTTGAGAAAACACAATTATAGGCTAACAAAGATTCATTTTTGTATTTGTGTTTCCGTTATGGATGTCCTGACCACACTATAACAAACCGCATATGTGTAGCATTAAATCTTGATATTCAGACCTACAGAGTCTACTAAAAATGTTGATAGAAAACTTCTTCTTTTTTAACATTTTACAAATATATGAGTAGCCCATTTGTCGTGTGATGCAGTTCTCTATGCAGAGTTACATCCCTTTGGTGTGCCAAAAACCTATAATCATGGGTTCAAATCCCGGTTCACCCTGACATTGTTTCTCGGGTATGACAGCACCATACCATGCTCTTAGGTTTCATAAAAGTGAAAACGTCTAAGTCTTGCAACACTTTGGGGCTTTCCGCCAATATCGAGCTGACAAGCCGTGATATAACTCAAATACTTTTCAAGGAAATGATAACCCAACTCACACACAACCATAAGTTGACTTGTTTCTATGAGGAAACTTACAAGTTTCTTGTGATCCTCTGTGAGCAATTGAGTTTGGTCCTTGAGGTTTCGGTTGAAAGAGGTAAGTTCCACATTCTTGTCAAGAAATTTCTTGTTCTTTTCATTAAGTTGCCGGTTCTTCTGTTCTATATCTTTGAGCTTCTTGCTCTGCAATTAAAACACACATGAGTCTACAGACACAGCACCATTTCACAAAAAATGATTATAGAAACACTACTTCTAAAAAAATAGTGCCATGGTGCTGTAGCTCACCTGGATATGTAGTCAACAGTCTGCATCACTACTGAGGACTAAACTACTGATCTGAATAAATTATGAAAATGAAACATACATGCCAAATGTTCAACTCCTGCATTTCAGAGCAGTTCTTTATAGAGCCAAATATGCATCTTGAGAGAATGCAACACCATGTTCAAAAAACAATATGAAAATTAAAAATAATGCACAAAAAAAAGAACAGATGTGTGAGCCACACATTTAACTAAACAAACACAAAATATTACATTTTGTACAAAAATGGCAGGGTAATGGCCACAAATATATAATGTTCAATATGTCTGCTTTGGCAGCCATATTGAAAATCAGATTTGTACATTTTGTACAAATTGGTGTGTCATCATTGGTGGGAACAAGAACCTAAGTCTCAGAATCATTGGTCCATAGGAGAAGCTGTTTACAATCGATGGCGGACAAACAGGGTATAATGCAAACTCACAGTCAGGTGAGCTAAAGAAAACACAATTTAATGGATGCCAAATGGAATGAAAATGTAACAATGATACAAAAACTTCAAATGGTCATTTTCTGCATAGGATTTTACAAAGATGAAACGTGTTCTATATTAGATAAATAGCAACGTAATGTTTGTACACTTCAAAGTTAAAATGATGGGAAATATTTTTTTACACCTGTGTTTTTTTAACAAGGTGTAGAAAATAACCATTTTAAGTTGTTAAATTGTTTACAATCATTGTTACATTATAATTCTATTTGGCAGCCACTGAACACAGACTGAACTATTTGTAGCTCACCTGACTGAAAGTCAAGTGAGGTCATATGTTTTGACCTGTTTGTCCGTCAGCAGCTGTAAACACATTCTCCTGAAACCAGTGGACCAATGAAGCTGAGACTTCAGTACTTTTCAACATGGCTGCCACAGCAGACATATTCCAAATAATACTTTAGGCCATCCCTCAGTCATGGTCATACTAATTACCTAGCAATCAGTAAATGTGACCCACCAGGGGAACAGGGACCTCATGGGTGCTAGGACACAATTGTGCTGTGATGTTACAAAGAAAGATGTTTCACATCAACTTAATTACTTCTGTAAAAATCGCCATGTGTGCGACAGACAGTACAAAAATATCAAATTTTTCTCCCATTTGTTTGTTATGTAATAAAAACATTATTTCAAAATAGTTCAGCATACATGTCTACATACAATTAATCATATCATCATATCTAAAATCTGAAAAACTGTATTCGACGTAATAAGCGCCCCGCTCTAATAAGCACCCACAGCGATATTTGCTAATATTTTGGCTATAACAATCCAAATTAGCAACCCTTTCGATTGATCAATGTACACAAGACTAATTTATTCGCGTATATATACACACTTATGTGTTATATGCACCCTTAATTATGGCCAATTAAATTCTGAAAAAATGTATCTGTCGTATATAAACATTTCAGGCTGTCAACATAAACCACGAAATGTATCTTTCAGCTCTGTTTTTTTCACCAAAATGAGATTCTAATAAGAGCCCCCTATTTCTAATTTTGAGAGCACCTTGGGCGCTTATTACGTCAAATACAGTATTGCATATACAGTTAAAAGTCAGATGGGACTTTGAAGACAATGAGTCAAAATGTTTGATGCCATGTATCTTTATAATAAATATGAATCGAAGCGTGTGAATTGTATTTTGTGTTCCTGAGAAACTTTGGTGATTTTTCACCCATGAGGAGGAGCCTTGTGGTTTAAGCGTTCGCTAGTCACGCCGAAGACCCGGGTTCGATTCCCGACATGGGTACAATGTGTCAAGCCAATTTCTGGTGTCCCCCGCCGTGATATTGCTGGAAAATTGCTAAAAGCGGCTTTAAACCATACTCACTCACTCACCCATGAGGTACCTTATTTCATGGTTGGTCACAAATATAACATAGATCCTGTTGCTATCAAACGAACATAACTGATAAAAAAATAATGTTACTAACTTCCCAATATAAACTCTATCACAATAAGTATTACACAGATCCTGTAGCTGTTAATGAAACATATGTGTTCCACAGACATAAACATTCTTTTCCTGACATCAATGAACTCTCAGTGAGCGACCATATCAACAAAGACGAGCAATTTGTACCTGATTAAATGTATATCAACAGGTAAATCCAACAGGTGGGCAGCTTTACCTTGATTGGCACCTGTCTATCTTTGATGCCAAAATGGTATCTGACTGTAGCGCCGATAGCACAGATAATACTATCTTTTCCACAGACTTCTTGGTGCCAAGTAATTGCCCATCGACCAAACTCTCCAATTTATAGTCACATAAAGCTATTCCAGTCCCAGCCTACCATTACTTTCACAATTGAAGTCAACTTTTGTTCCTTGTCAAATTTCTACTTCGTCACAAGTAACATCAATGCATTAATATACTACCAGTAATTCCCAACCCCTGTACATCAGCTGAACACATCATTACAAAGCAAATCCATGAAAACCAAACAGGCACCAACACATTTTGACATGATTGATTCCTGGAACTCCAGAATCCAGCAATATCGGGGTTCCAATCAAAGACTTAGTAACAACTGCATATTCAAAACATAGAAATTCCAATTAGAGTTCCAAAAAATGAAAACTGTAGGTCACAGCAAAACTGATAACTGTAAATAGAAATATTTGCCACATCTTCCCTAACAGAAAAACATAAAGGGCCTATATTCACCCTTGTAATTACATTTCATAATCACATATATTTGACTTTTGGGAAACACTGCATCGTAAATTGTTACACACAAGAAAAATCAAATCAAACGTATATTTTAAAACCTTTTTAGCACATTCACCGAAATCCCATCTTAATTTGAATAGTATGTTTATACAACGATCCTGGCCCATGTTTTCACTCATTCCCCAAAACATTTTGGGAACACAAATTGTGTAATCATTACCTACTGCCTAACATCATTACATTGTATTATGTCTCCAAATATAGTCCCCTATCTATAAACTCAACACACATCTATCCAGGAATTACATCCTCATCTTCTCGTTACACTCTCACAAACACATGCACAACGACTGGTTGATCACAATAAATCCACGTCTGCCTCCCCCTCGTATATCGATAGTAAGTCCCACGACAGTTCTGAATCCTGAAAATCATGAAATGTTTGCAGAATATTTTCAAACACCTTCCACTTCTCATAAACACCAACATTTTGATGATTTTTCCCACACGTTTGACGAATTGATTTCCCCAGCAAGTACCCGGCCATTACATTAATCTGTCACTACCTCCACTCAACCCACCAGGCCGTTCCCAGGGCCATTGTTCCTGTCTCAAAGGCCTCCAGGTGACACCTATCCATCACAGTGGCCAACACAGCCATATAACACTGACCCATGGATTCAAACTTATGAAATAATTCAATTTTATTGCCATTACTACAACTGAAATATTCGTACATCGGACAGTACAGAACATGGGCTACTTGCAAATGACCTATTGATGGTGGTCGACCTATGCTTTGCATAATGGTGCCAGAGATCGTTGAGCAATATTTCAGTTTAATTATTTCTGTCAAAACTTGATGAGTATATGTAGGTTGTAGGCCGTACAGGCATTATAAGGGCTAGTAGGCTACGTCATCATAGAAAAAATCATTTCTATTTTGTAAAGTAAAACCAATGTTTCTTCATTTCAATACATCTCCTAACCTTCACTGTTATAATAAATTCACATAAAATCATATATGTATCACTGTTTCATGGTGCGAATGCACCCTTGGTTAGTGCCCTGGGTCGAATCACACAACAGGGCTTTTATCCATGTAGTGTGAACACTGACATTAAACTGTTTTCATGCAAACTTTTGGACTGCCCTTCAATATGGAAAGTTGGTGTGGTGTAATATTGGAGGGGAGGGTGTGATGTAGTGTGGGAGAGGGTGGGAGGATGTGGATTCTGGTAGGGAGGGTGCTGGGTGGGGTTTGTGAGAGGGTTTGGGGTAGGGTAGGGTATGGTAAGATGATGAGGAGGCTGAAGGAGAGGCTGGAAAGGGGTAGGGGTTGGTATGGAGGGAGTGAAAGGGGTTGTGGTATAAGAAGGGGGTGAGATGGGAAAGGGTGTGGCATGGAGGTGGAGTAGTGTAGTAAGGGGAGGGGATGGGAAGTTGATGGGGAGGGGAAGGGATGGGAGGGGGAGGAGTGGGATGTGGTATGGTCGTGGGTGTGATGTGGCATGGAGTTGGAGGGGTGTAGTAAGGGGAGGGGAAGGGAGGGGGAGGAGTGGGATGTGGTATGGTCGTGGGTGTGATGTGGCATGGAGTTGGAGGGGTGTAGTAAGGGGAGGGGATGGGAGGGGGAGGAGTGGGATGTGGTATGGTCGTGGGTGTGATGTGGCATGGGATGGTGTGGTATGGTCGTGGGTGTGATGTGGCATGGAGATGGAGGGGTGTAGTAAGGGGAGGGGAAGGGAGGGGGAGGAGTGGGATGTGGTATGGTCGTGGGTGTGATGTGGCATGGAGTTGGAGGGGTGTAGTAAGGGGAGGGGATGGGAGGGGGAGGAGTGGGATGTGGTATGGTCGTGGGTGTGATGTGGCATGGAGTTGGAGGGGTGTACTAAGGGGAGGGGGAGGAGTGGGATGTGGTATGGTCGTGGGTGTGATGTGGCATGGAGATGGAGGGGTGTAGTAAGGGGAGGGGAAGGGAGGGGGAGGAGTGGGATGTGGTATGGTCGTGGGTGTGATGTGGCATGGAGTTGGAGGGGTGTAGTAAGGGGAGGGGATGGGGATGGGATGTGGTATGGTCGTGGGTGTGATGTGGCATGGAAATGGAGGGGTGTACTAAGGGGAGGGGGAGGAGTGGGATGTGGTATGGTCGTGGGTGTGATGTGGCATGGAGTTGGAGGGGTGTACTAAGGGGAGGGGGAGGAGTGGGATGTGGTATGGTCGTGGGTGTGATGTGGCATGGAGTTGGAGGGGTGTAGTAAGGGGAGGGGATGGGGATGGAAAGGGGTGTGATGTGGACTGGGATGGTGTGGGATGGTGTGTGGGTGGTTGTGGGTGTGATGTGGGATGACATGTGAGGGGGTGGGGGTGGGGGTGGTATGGGTGGAGGTGGAAATATATGGGCAGGGTTAAAAACATAATTCCAGGAAAATAATCGAAACAATTAACAGCTCAAAGATGGGTAACAGAAAATTACTGCATAGTTAAAATATTATCAGTAGACTCGTATATGAATACTCAAAGTTTTGTTGTGATTTGGATTAAAATTCTGCTTACATCTGTAGTAAGTAACTGTATTTATTGACCCTCTCAGCAAAGTACCAGCTATTTCATGAGGCTTGTAACTAATCGACCAGCTTATATCACACATTCAAAACGTCAAAGCCAGAGAATAATCAATAATAATCAATAATCAATATTCTTGAACATATGCCGAAACTGATTCTATGGGGATTAAAAGTCAAAATAGATGAAACAGAATGGCAAGGGAATACATAGGCATGTCCTGCTCTACCAGTGGCAATGACACACAGGTAGTTGTGTTTGATGGACTTGGAAGTAGGGGGGTATGAGGGCCCAGTCTGACCCGGAATCACCACAGGATTACAATCTGACACTGATTTAGATTCTAACACATTTTGACATATTTGTTGACAGCTTACCTGCACACAGAAATAACCTTGCAATACCTCAAGTGAAACTCACACTGCAGTAAACAAGTAAACATATTCTCACTCTCACACTTCCTACTCGAATGACACTCCATTCAACAACAACTCACAACCTTCAAAGCCAGACTGATTTACCATAAAGAACTACGCAGACATAACACAGAGGACCTGTGGCAGAGGAAGTCAGTGCCAGTGGCCATGTTGGCAATGTTGTAGTATTTGACCTTCATGTTTATTGCCCGATGCATCAATCACATTCGGGCCGAGAGTATTAGATCTCATTAAAATCATACCTTACTTCTTGCTACCGCTAAACGAAGATCTGAGGACATCCCATTACGGTTTTAATGAGATTTCAATGTTATGAACATATAAGTTTGTCCAGGGAAGATTGAGACGCATTAAAATGAGCGAGCGAGTTAAAACAAATACCATATTTGACATAATAAGCGCCCAGGGTGCTCTCAAAATAAGAAATAGGGGGCTCTTATTAGAATATTATTTTGGTGAAAAAAACAGAGCTGAAAGATACATTTCGTGGTTTATGTTGACAGCCTGAAATGTTTATATACGACAGATACATTTTTCCAGAATTTAATTGCCTATAATTGAGGGTACAAATTACACACGAGTGCGTATTATACACGAATAAATAGGTCTTGTACAATTGATCAATCGGAAGGGGTGCTAACTGGGATTGTTAGATAAGACAGTTTAGACAAATTTGATGGGGAATCACACTTTTTAATACAGTTCTATATATCATGGAAAAACAAATTCCAAATGAACAAGAAGACAAAAATCATCTATACCCCCTGCTGTTTTAAATATGTGCATAAAATCACAAAAGGAATGTCATATACCTCATTATCCTGGAAAAGGTCAATCCTAAAGCTTGTGAGTACAGCTGACACCATGATTGATGACTTAAATAAATAATTCCCTCTATTCCTTTTTAACACTGCATTATGAGCAACGTCCCACTCTGTCAGGGTACAATGTCACATAATCAGTCCCCAAGTCCGACCAACTGATCCATTTAGCCGTCTTTCAAAAGAAGCATAGGTTCCTGCAAACCTATTCTAACTGAATTCCAAAAGGCTTGTACAATGTAGGAGAAACCGTTTATGCCATAGAAATTATACCTACTCTCGAATGAAAATGTTAAAACTTCCTGAATAGCAAAAGGCACCAGTTCAATGAAAGCCTGATGGGTTTCATGAAGAGATATTGAACAGTTTATCCCAAATCAAACTGTGTTTGGTTTGTGAATAATGACATTTTCTACCAACAATGCATGAAGATATTGGGCATTTCATAAAAGTACATTCTCAAAATAGTTATCACCTAAAAATAGATTCATCCCCATCGCCCCAAAAAACAATCCATTATTAATATCTATCATAATGCTGTCAAAGTGAGTGAGTGAGTGAGTTGGGTTTAACGCAGCTTTGAACAGTATTTCAGTTATATCACAGTGTGTCAGCTTAATGTGGTAGGAAAACCCGAAGTGATGCAGGTCTCAGACGTTTACCACTTTGGTGAAACCCACGAGCACGGGTATGGTGCTGACAAACCTAGAAACATAATCGAGGCGAACCGGGATTCGAACCCACAATCATCGGTTTCTGGCGTGCCCAAGGGACGCAACTCTGCACAGCGTATTGCAGCGCCTTAGACGACTGGGCCACCCGTGCCCCCCTGTCAAAGTACATGGAGAACTGAGAAAAGTGCACAGTGAACTGAGGAGTGCACCTGACACTGCAGCTTTAACATGTTTCTGTACAAAACTTGACATCCTTACCAGTTCCTGGTTGTCTTGCACCAGGCAGTCACACTTCTCATTTAGTTCTTGGACCTCAGTCTCTAGGTGAGCTAAATCCTCGATAGCTCGTTTGCCCTCGCCCTCATATGATAGCTGCAAGAACAAAGAAGTCTTCAATATCTATATGTTACCCACACAACACTATATAGACTTCACAATAAATTAAATAGCCATAACAATTTACTAAATTCATACCTCCAAACTTCAACAAGGCTTTGATTGTTTAACGCCGAACTCAGCAATATTCCATCTATTTGACGGCGTTCTGTAAATAATCAAGTCTGGACCAGACAATCCAGTGATTGACATCATGAACATTGATCCACGCAATTGGGACACAATGACATGCATCAACCAAGCCAGCAAGCCTAACCACCTGATCATGTTAGTCGACTCTTAAGACAAGCACAGTTACCTTTCACAGCAAACATGGGTTGCTGATGACATATTCGAATCCAGATCTTCACGTGTAATTCACCGAGGTAAATATCACCTTGACAACAGCCATACTTACTTCAATCATTAATTCACCGACTATAAGAACAGTTTTACACAGTGCATATCCCCTCACAGACCTTGCATACACCCAAGCACCTGCTCATGAAGCCCATTGTTAAAACAGTCAGGACAAACCATGTATTGAGTGTTAGGCATATCAAAGTAATTAGCAGTCAGACCTAGTCATCAATAATCCTCCATTGTAACATGATGACAGACTCACAAACTACTCTAAATACAATAGCCTTTATTCAAGGATGCTGACCCACTTTACACAGCACCACTAATAACATACTCTTTTTAAAACTTATCAATTTTACAGAATATCTTTATACATTTTACAAGCTGTAGTAACAATGAAAACAGAGTTGACTCATAGATTTCAATTTCTTCTATTCTTTCAAAGTGGAACAGTTTATTGAAATGATAAAATAAATTGAAATCCTTAAGTCAATTGACTCAATGTTACAGAATGGATGATACTCAAATTGGTATATTTCTATAAGACTTTTATCATCCATGATATGATTAAATGTATAATTATACATATAATTGTACATTTTGCTGTCTTACGATAGAAAGGTCATTAAGTTCATATTTTTATATAGAAGGCATCCAAACAAGTATCTTTTTCTGATGAAATCATAACAGTGTATACAATAATCACAACATATCTTGATAAATACGTAAGTATGTATGCCACTCACATGTCAAGCATCATTGTACACTCTAATCACCGGTTACAATGATTGTACAAGTAAGTATTCACCTACTTCTCAACTTGGTAGGGCTGCTATGAGAAGGTTGTTAAATATTCAGGTAGACACAATCGTTTTCTGCTGATGCTTTTGTTAACCCCACAATCAGATTCAGCCTTGATAAACTTTCACTGCAGTAAGCAGGATGATTGCTGTGCTCATGGATTATTAGATCTTGAATTTCAAAAAACTTAAATTGTCTTATCTCTGAATGTGACCCTTGACTAACATCTAGTCTCTGAAATGAACATACAGAAAAAAAACAGTTGTAATAATAAAAAGGAGCCAGAGACTCTCTTCATTTCCTGAAACTGAAGAAATCCAGACTTACCAAACATTATAGACTTGCATGGGCTGTATTTGATATATTTGTGTCAGGGTCTGTAAGACAGACTAAATGTGACCCATGAAAGACTCCTTAAGGAGATGCTACCTGTAGTGTATTCAACTGGATTTATTATATTAACATGACATGGACAGAAGACAGTTTAGACTGCAATTAAATCCCAACAAAACAGTAGCAGAACCATGTTTCAGTTTACTATCGGTCCTTGGGTCTGGTAGAGTATGTGAGTCAGTGAGTTGGGTTTATTGATAAATTCAACAGCATGTCCCTACACAAGCTCCCTCCCAGAGCGTGACAACTCCGTTACCCTCCTGGTCCCGGTCCTCAAAGCGATCTTATCACTAAGGTGATCGTAAGTCCCATACTTTAACATAGGCTTACGATCATCGTAGCCCTAAGATCGCTTTGGGGAACGGGGCCCTGGTCACATCTTTGCTGCCACCAGTGAGCAAGGAGCCATTACAAGAATCTTAAAAAGTGTCACTCAAGCCCCAAATGTAGTGACATTTATACTTTTGTGTACATGTCTGTTGGGAATGTCACTACACTGAATTTAGAAAAGTTTACGACTTACTGTATCCCAAATGAAATAATGTTTGTTAACTGATTATTTCAAGATTGCAGACTAACGGAATTTCCCCTTTGCATTCTCACTAAACCAATTACATGATAGTTGAAATGAAATAGAATTTCCAACTGACAAAGTAATTTATCTGGGTTAACAGTAGTAAGAGAACGGAGAGTTCTCCAACGGGGCTATCACTGTGAGGAGCTTGGTCCTCACCGTGTAAGTGGTTGCCCTGGTTCCACTGCCATCACCGAGTTTCCCATTGCTGCCGCTGCTGCCGAGACTGAGATCCATGTTAGGTGTGACCGCTAGGGTGGCGGGGTGGGGGGAGGCGTCGTGTGACGTCGACTCCCTCTCGAGCGCCAGGTGCAGCGCATACCCCGACTGATGACCCAGCTCTCGCTCCAAGTGCGAAATTATCTTGTCCTTATTCTTCAGTTGCTCAATCTGAAACAAAAAAATACAAGTTACTTTATTTTTCAATGCAATCATCACTGAGCATACTGGCTGCAAAATATTTAAGCTGCATCTCCAGAGGCTTGGAGGCTGAGAGGGAGCCTTGGAGGCTTGGGGATTAGGAAGCTGGGAGGCTGGGAGGCTGAGAGGGAGCCTGGGAGGCTTGGAGATTAGGAGGCTTGGAGGCTAGGAGGCTGAGAGGGAGCCTGGGAGGCTGGGAGGCTGGGAGGCAGAGGGAGCCTGGGAGGCTTGGAGATTAGGAGGCTTGGAGGCTGGGAGGCTGAGAGGGAGCCTTGGAGGCTTGGGGATTAGGAAGCTGGGAGGCTGAGAGGGAGCCTGGGAGGCTTGGAGATTAGGAGGCTTGGAGGCTAGGAGGCTGAGAGGGAGCCTGGGAGGCTGGGAGGCTGGGAGGCAGAGGGAGCCTGGGAGGCTTGGAGATTAGGAGGCTTGGAGGCTAGGAGGCTGAGAGGGAGCCTTGGGGATTAGGAAGCTGGGAGGCTGGGAGGCTGAGAGGGAGCCTGGGAGGCTTGGAGATTAGGAAGCTGGGAGGCTGGGAGGCTGAGAGGGTGCCTGGGAGGCTTGGAGATTAGGAGATTAGGAGGCTGGGAGGCTGGGAGGCTGAGAGGGAGCCTGGAAGGCTTGGAGATTAGGAAGCTGGGAGGCTGGGAGGCTGAGAGGGAGCCTTGGAGGCTTGGAGACTAGGAAGCTGGGAGGCTGGGAGGCTGAGAGGGAGCCTTGGAGGCTTGGAGATTAGGAAGCTGGGAGGCTGGGAGGGAGCCTGGGAGGCTTGGAGATTATGAGATTAGGAGGCTGGGAGGCTGAGAGAAAGCCTGGGAGGCTGGGAGGCTGGGAGGCAGAGGGAGCCTGGGAGGCTTGGAGATTAGGAGGCTTGGAGGCTGGGAGGCTGAGAGGGAGCCTTGGAGGCTTGGGGATTAGGAAGCTGGGAGGCTGAGAGGGAGCCTGGGAGGCTTGGAGATTAGGAGGCTTGGAGGCTAGGAGGCTGAGAGGGAGCCTGGGAGGCTGGGAGGCAGAGGGAGCCTGGGAGGCTTGGAGATTAGGAGGCTTGGAGGCTGGGAGGCTGAGAGGGAGCCTTGGGGATTAGGAAGCTGGGAGGCTGGGAGGCTGAGAGGGAGCCTTGGAGGCTTGGAGATTAGGAAGCTGGGAGGCTGGGAGGCTGAGAGGGAGCCTTGGAGGCTTGGAGATTAGGAGGCTGGGAGGCTGGGAGGCTGAGAGGGAGCCTGGGAGGCTTGGAGATTAGGAGATTAGGAGGCTGGGAGGCTGAGAGGGAGCCTGGGAGGCTTGGAGATTAGGAAGCTGGGAGGCTGGGAGGCTGAGAGGGAGCCTTGGAGGCTTGGAGACTAGGAAGCTGGGAGCCTGGGAGGCTGAGAGGGAGCCTTGGAGGCTTGGAGATTAGGAAGCTGGGAGGCTGGGAGGCTGGGAGGGAGCCTGGGAGGCTTGGAGATTATGAGATTAGGAGGCTGGGAGGCTGGGAGGCTGGGAGGGAGCCTGGGAGGCCTGGAGATTAGGAAGCTGGGAGGCTGGGAGGCTGAGAGGCTGAGAGGGAGCCTGGGAGGCTTGGAGATTAGGAAGCTGGGAGGCTGGGAGGCTGAGAGGCTGAGAGGGAGCCTGGGAGGGAGCCTGGGAGGCTTGGAGATTAGGAAGCTGGGAGGCTGGGAGGCTGAGAGGCTGAGAGGGAGCCTGGGAGGCTTGGAGATTAGGAAGCTGGGAGGCTGGGAGGCTGAGAGGCTGAGAGGGAGCCTGGGAGGCTTGGAGATTAGGAAGCTGGGAGGCTGGGAGGCTGAGAGGGAGCCTTGGAGGCTTGGAGACTAGGAAGCTGGGAGGCTGGGAGGCTGAGAGGTAGCCTTGGAGACTAGGAGGCTGGGAAGCTGGGAGGCTGGGAGGCTGAGAGGGAGCCTTGGAGGCTTGGAGACTAGGAAGCTGGGAGGCTGGGAGGCTGAGAGGGAGCCTTGGAGACTAGGAGGCTGGGAGGCTGGGAGACTAGGAAGCTGGGAGGCTTGGAGATTAGGAGAATTGGAAGCTGGAAGCCTGGGAGGCTTGGTCAGGCTTGGAGACTGGAAAGCTGCAAACCTGGGAGGCTTAGAGACTGTGAAACTGGGAAGGAGGCTTAGAGACTGTGAAACTGGAAAACTGGGATGCTCAGATGCTGGGAGGATTGGAGAAGACTGGGAGGCTGGAAGACTAGGAGGCAGGGATGATCTCAAATGGGAGGCTGGGAGGCTGAAAAGCAGGGATTCTGGGAAGCCGGGAGGTTGGGGGGCTGGAAAACCGAGACTGGGAGGCTGGGAAACTGGGAGAATGGGAGAAGACTGAGAGGCTGAGGCTGGGATGCTGGCTACTGGGGGGCTGAGAGGCAAGGAGGCCAAGAGGCTGGGAGACTGGGAGGCAAGGATGTTGGGAGGCATGGAGGCAGGGAGACGGCCTCAGGGTGGATGACACGGAGACCAACATGAGCTCCAGCAGGACCCTTCTTACTTCTGGATGTGTTGAAGATGAATAATTTACAAACCTCTGATGAAGAACACAGAGATTCACAAAACTGGTCCAGAAACTATATCCAATAAAGCACTTTATAGATCCACTTTGAGGACTGTATAATATTATCAGGGGATAGGACCTTTGTTAGGGCCTTACATTTTTTTAGGAAAAGAAACTATGAACCATCTAATTAAAACTAAAAGGTCTGGAGACAGAAAGTTTCTCTTTCACTGATCCACAATATTTCTCTCTGAAACAACAAACAATTTGTGTAACGTATGTTATATTTCAGATTACTCTCTTTTAGTAATGAGTGAGTGAGTGAGTGAGTGAATATGTTTTTACGCCACTTTTAGCAATATTCCAGCAATATCATGGCGGGGGACACCAGAAATGGGCTTCACACATTGTACACATGTCGGAAATCGAACCCGGGTCTTAGGCATAACGAGCGAACGCTTTAACCACTAGGCTACCCGACCGCCCCGCTTTTAGTAATGAATAAATTGCAAACAATTTGTAATCATTCTCCATCTATTTGAAAGCAAATTATTAGAATTGATAGTAAATAATGGTTAGTTTCAGCCTATGCACATCTCAGCATATTCATGATTATTCCCCAAAAGTCCTCCATATCCTGACAACTGTTTCATCTCTTAATTACACACCATTACTGATGGTCGTGACCTTAACAGGCCATAATGTATTATATGATGCAGTGTCAACATAACTGCCAGCCTGTCTGCCAGTGGCCACCAACTTTTCTGTCGGGCTGCATATTAGTTTCCTCCACCTGCCCGACTATCTGGTGGATAATTTTAAGACTACTTATGTGTTCAGTTTTATCATAACTCCTTGTTGACTCCCTTGTGATTGTTTATATTATTTCAACTGAATCAAAACATGGTTTGTCTCTTATTTTTTGGTGCTTTTTCAAAATATATAATGTCTGAATGCGGGCAGACAAGTTTGAAGATGGGCAGACAACACTTATGGATCAACTGCCTGACTGGCTTGTTGGGTTTTAAATTATTTCAAACACTGATATGATGAAATGCAATGCAAATTCAAGGGCTGTTATTGCTGTAATCCAATTTTCTTTGAAAAAAAAAGACAAATACATTATAGCAGCCATGTTTTGAGAAAAGGAAAGCCTACAAGACTTGGTCTACCATATACAGCTGAAGGATAGTTGGCACCTATTTCTGGCTGGATGTAAGTTATCAACGACCCTGTGTGTAGACTTGGAGATCTACCAACATTTACAGAAGGGAAGAACTGAAGAAGGAATGCTTCTGACATGACTGTATACCATCAGTGCCATTGGTGCCATCGCTGACACTCTACCATCAACATCCACACACACAGCATGAATCAAGTCTCTTGTTGAAATGTTCTTCGTGGGTTACATATGTCTGTGTACATAAGCTGTAGTATCTCAGTGCCCGACTTGGCAGCATGTCATGCAGGCAAAGAAAACTTCTGGTAACCATGGCGATAGTTCCAAAACAGTATCAATACAAGGATTGCTTTGAAGTTTTTTGAAGGCTATTACAACACCTCGAGGCTAAATTGTTTCAATTAGATTTCATCAATATTTAAATTGCTACAGATTCTGGGGATCTAAGACAGCATTAGATTTTATTAGAGCTGGGACGAATCACCAACTGTGTGAACTGCTTTGTATCACAATACCTCACTCACGATCCGATATGTATCACGATACTTGCATGTGCTGTTATCTGTCGTCCATAAACCATCTTTTTCACAGACAGGATGTCCAAATACTTGGCACACTGATGATTTACAGTTGGCAGTGTCAAGTATGGCACAGTGGGTGAAAATATTTACATGTTCAATACTAATGCTTCAATACTTTAGTGTAGCAGTAATTAAAAGCAAACACATAAGGTAAGAATCAATATTTTTTACTTAGTGTGCGATGTGACCAAAACTTGTATCAAGAAGTAAAAAATATCGATCAACCGATGCATCGGTGTATTGTCCCACCATTAGATTTTATCCTACCATTTCTACTGTGGCAATTCAGCCAGTATTCTTAAGAAGAACATTTCAGATTTCCTAGACAAGTAAATAAAGTATATCGCATCCATGTTACTGAATGAGTGAGTCAGTTTTTTCACTGCATTAAGCAACATGTAACAAGGAATACAAGAAATGGGCTGCACACCCTTGTGGGGAATCAAACCCTAGTGCTCGGTTACAAGTGAACACTTTAACCACTAGGCCAAATCACATCATTTGAGGCAGTATTAGCCAAAATGAAAGAAATAATACTTAACATAGTCCATGACAACTTGCACAAAACAAACTTTGTGTTTTAATTATTGTAAGGCTTTGTCAAGAAATTGGAGTGTTGAAATTCTTTAGTTAACCATCTCATGCAGCCTAGTCGGGTTTAATATAAAGACATTTCTTCCTTCAGAAAGTTTCTTTGACAGTTAACATTCAAAAGCAACTCGTCTTTGAATAAG